GAGGAGGATGAGAAGGGGGAGGAGGAGGAACAGGGGGAGGGGGGCTGCATGGGAGGGGGAGGGGGGGGGGGCAAGGGGGGAGGGGGGGGGGGGGGACGGTGGAAGGAGGAGGGGGAGGGGTACCCTGGGGCCCACCAGAGCCGCGGGCGCCCGAGCGCCCATTGGGTTGCCGCGATATGGATGCCTTCGTCGATTATCCCGACAGGTGGCGGTGCCGATCGGGTAGAGGAGAAAGTCGGGGAGGAGGGGTTGGGGGGGCGGTGGCGTGGGGGGGTTGGGATAATGCTGACGAGGATCCTTGTTTGCACTGCTTGGCGCCGCCAGAGATGGCCCTGGCGAAGTAGATGGTGTTGTAGCCCTCGTGGCGGGGTGTGCAAGTCCCTATAGATCTCGTTAACCACCGGTTGCAAGTCGTCATTCGCATCGCCGTTCAGGGCGAGCTTCAGCGAGGATATGTCGTTGATCAGTTCGAGCTTGTGGCCGCGAATCTCGACTGGAACAGTAGGTGGGGCTTGGTTGCCTTTCCACATTGCGCCCTCGCGGGCGTCGCGACTGTCTTTCAGCGCACCCTCTATCTCGCGCAGCGCTATCCCCTTAGGCGAGAGGGTCCAACCGAAGGCCTTGCGCAGCCACTTGGATTTTTTCGGTTTGAGGTTCGCGACTTTCGCCGCGCGGTCACCGGGGGATACTAGCAACGCCAAGAGGGAACGTTGTCGAGCTCGGTCCCGGGAAAACGCAACCCTAGAGGATGAGCGGGCGCGGTGATGGGCGGGGGGGGGGGGCTGAGGGGGGGGGGGCGGGGGGGGAGGGGAGAAGGGTGAGGGGAAGGACAAGGGAGAGGAGGAACATCGCGAGTTTCCGATCAGATGAGCTCACGGGGGGGGGCCGCGCTTGCCCCATCAATTGACCCAAGTCGACGATCTCGTGCTCGACGGGCTGCTTCGCGACGCAGATCTGGTTCGAAATTAGGGGCGGTTCACCTGGGGACCTGTGGCGCCGAAGTCGTTTGCGTGGTCCAATCTCGCTCGTTGTCGCGCGGCCGCTCCCAGTGCTGGGGTCGGCAGCCATCCGTGTCCGTCCGAAACCGCGCTCGCGCTCGGGGGGGGGGGGGCCGAGCGACGATGGGGCCCTGGGCGCATATTGGGCCAGTCCGCGGCGATCCTCATCGGCGGGGTGCAGACGAGCCGGGCCATTGGATGGTGGCCGTTCGGTCAGTGGCTGAATGGTGTGGATGCCGCGCCGTCGGCGACCGACCCAGCGGGGCGGGCGCCGGGGCCTACTTCGCCCCTCGGCGCACTTCCCAGCCCCAAGGGCGAGGGGCGGCGCTGGGGGCCTGGAGCGAAGCCGCCAGCCGCATGGACTTGCGCAGGGCTGGGGAAGGGGCGATCGTCCGCCACCGCCAGCCGCCGGAAATGGGCGACACCTCGGAATCCCGACGGCTACTACCACCACGACTACGACCACGATTTCGACTACGGGACGCGCTTTGACGGGGGAGGAAGACTCCGCGGGAGTATGCCCCGAGCCTGCGGCATTGGAGGAGCCGCCGGGCTTTGGCAGTGAGGGTCGGCGCGCTTGGTTGCCGACTGGGTGGTGTGCTGACAAGATAGATGGGTACGCGTCCAGCGTGCCGCCCTTGGCTGGGCCTCGTGAGCCCGCGCCCGCGCGGCCTCGAGGGTTCGCATCTTGTGCCTTCGAGATCAGCGGATTTGGGATCTGGCTAAGCACGCCGGAGCGCGTTGGCACGCTCGGGCATAGTGGGGGGTGGATCGGAGCTGCGGAGAATAGCCTGGCCGCGCATATTTTGGGCTATTGGTTGGGCGCAGCCGTACTTTGCGTGGCGATGATGGCCGTGTTCACGTTTCCGTTCGGCGCCGCCGCTTGCTGCATCAACGTGGTGATGGTGCCGCTGGCCCTGAGCTGTGCCGGGATAGCTTTTGCGCTTGGGCAGCTTGCAGCGTGTTGCCGCCGACGGCCCGCGGGGCCGGGGGCGGCCCTCCCGCCGCCCCCGCCCACGCTGCAGCGAGCGCGGTTCCGTGGGCCTGGAGTGGGTGGTGATACCGAGACCGCCTACTGCAACGCGGGGTCCGCGGCCGGGGCATTAACCGAGCCCCGAACGACCTGCTGCTGCGCCAGCGCGGGCAGCGCGCCCGCGTGTCCTGCAACTTCAGCCGCGGGTCCAGAAGGGGCACCGTCGAAGCCCCGCCTCTGTCGACATGGCTTGACGGTGCATATTGATCAGGTGCTGTGTTGAACGAGTCGTAGGTGAAGGGCGAACTTGGAGGCGACTGGCCAGGTGCATCTCTGCCGGGCAGTGGGGCGTGGGGCGGCGCGCCCTATGCGCGTTGACCAGTGCGCAGCCATCGACCACGCGCAGATCGTAGTTCTAGGGGGGCATGGGGCTGGTCAATACTTTTGTTGATGAGCTGCCCCCGCCCGGGGCCTCGCTACATCGAAGATGCTAATGGCAACTGGCCATTGCTCCCGGGTCCGGAGAGCGAGAGCGGGGCGGAGGAGCGCCCGTGCCAAGCGGCGCGGGCAGGCGTGCAATTGGCGAGCGAGGCCCGCCCGCTACTACAGCCGGAGGGGTTCTCGGACCGAGGGCTCGTGGAGACCCGCGGTCTTGCTGGCGGAGGGCCAGGATGCGGCGGCGTCCGACGCGCCCGCGCCGCCGGCCGGGGAGTTGGCGAAGATCTGCTTGTGCGCTCATCGCGCCCTGAAGTGCCATTCGACGCTGCTGGGGCGCAAATGCAGCATGCCGACGTGCCGTCGGGTGGCCCGTGGAAACTTCCATGGCGCCCCCGTGTGGGGGGGGCGCCTGGGAAACGGCGGTGGCGCCCGCCTGCGGGCGGGGGCGACGATGCGCCTGGGCCTATTCGGGGGTCTACGGAAGCGTTCGCGGGGTCGGGGAACTGGCCCGGGGCCGGCGAAGGATTGGGCGTCCCAGCCGCGGGGGCACTCGCCGCGCTCCGCGGGGCGGCGACCGCAGTTGCTTGCGCCCCCGGCGACGGTGGCATCGTCGGCGGCTCCGCGAGAGGTGGCCTTCGGTGAAGCCGCGCTGGGGGCCGAGGCGGAGGCCGATGGAAGTGGCGGTCGCGCGCGCGGGATGGCCCCCCCCCCCGCGCGCCGGGCCGCGTCGCCGCCCGCGCCCGCGCGGCGACGGCCGAGGTCCGTCGAGCCTGAGAGTGGTCATCGTTCGCGGCCAACTGGACGTGGGCCCGCGGCCGACAGGCTGCTGGCGCAGCAATGGCTCCGGGAGAACTACGTAGTAATGATGTGTCCGAGTTTCGGCGATCGGGCCGAGAAAGGGGCCCAGCTTCGGCATCAATTGGGCGTGTGCGAGGGCGTCGAGACACGAGGGCCATCCAGCGACGCGTTGGTGATCATCGGGGCGAGCCTGGATGGTGTGCAGGTCGAGGTGCAGGCGTCAGATATCACGCGGCACCTTGGCCCGGTCGGCGAGGGCCGGTCCGACGCCGACTGGGTCAATCGGTTGTTCTGCGAAGTCCCGATGGGCATGAGCGAGCTGGGCGCGCGAGTTGTAGCGCATTGCATCCCCTGCGAGTTCGTGGGCCATGTCCGTCTGCATGGGTGAGGCGGCGTGGAGGTGAATGCCGCGGGGGGCCGCCGGCGCCGGCGCCTCGAGACCCAGGGCTGCCCGCCCGCTCCGCTTCGTTCCCTCTGGGCACTTTCGCTTCCTCGGCCGATGGGTTTGCGAGCGTGCCGAAGAGGCGCGCGGCCTTGGCTGCCGCGCGCCGTCAAGCGCATGCCCGGTCGGGCTTGCGCCGGAGGAGTCGGCGCGTGGCCGCGTTGCCAAAACCATCATCCTTGTCCTTCTCTCGTCCTCGTCCTCTTCCTCCTCGTCCTCTTCCTCCTCTCCTCCTTCCGTGTTTAGTGCGCGTGCGCCTGCACGTGACCCTTCTTTTGGAGCGCTGCAGCGCCGCCATGGAGGACTCGTGGGCCATCTTAGGGTCCTCTTGGGGCCGCCTTGGGAGCATTTTTGGGCCATCTTGGGGCTGTCTTGTTCCGTCTTGGGGCCCTCTTGGGCCGTCTTGGGGACATATTTGAGTCCTTCTCGGGCCGTCCTGGGGTTCGGAAGCCCGAAGAGGCACTTGCGCTGACTCTTTCAGAATCCTTTAGGAGCATGGATGAGTTTGGCATATTCGGGTCCTCTTGGCGGTCCTCTTTGAGGCAGAGACCTCTTGCGGTGGCCTTTAGTGGCCGTGTCGGACCGTCGTTGAGGCCATATAGGGCCGTTTTCTTCAAACTTTTAAGCCATCTCGGCCTCTGGGGCCATCTTGTGGTGGGGTTGGGGGGGCATAGAGTGTAGAGGTCCCCTTGGGCGGCGATGAAAGCGGGGAGCAGTGGAGGATCCCTTCAGGGTTCTCACCCGCGCCTCGGTTTGGGGACCATTTTCGCATGTTGCGTTCGATGCTTCATGGAGGTCTTGATTATTGCTTCGAAGGACGTGCAATCGACAAAACACGAAAGCCCGACAACAACAACAACCGCTGCAAGCGCGGTGGCGGACGATACGCAGTGCAGAAAAATCGAAGGATCCTGTTTTGTGTGCTTATTTTTTTACTCAAGTCATTTCGGCTCAAAGCCGCGCGATTTCAGCTTGTGCTGTAAACTCAGGTCTATTCTCAGGCATGGCATACCCTGCCTGGGTTTGCATCTTCGCGTTAGTAGTCTGCGTCCACGCATCGTCCCAGTTGGCGGCTTTTAGGAGTCGTGGCCAAGTCGAGTTGTCAACCTCGGAGAGCACGCGGTCGACAGTGGTGTTGCCCAGCGATCGCACAAGCTCAAATTCTGGCTCCGGAAGAGGGCAGGTGCCTTTTATGAGATCTGAACCACACGCTCTTGGGGTCACGATTTCGAGCGATACCACAGGGACAGAAGGCGAATACCCATCGACCCTGGCAGCAACAGCTGCGTTTTGGGACCCTCGTCTGGGGTCTGGGAATTCCTCGGCCGCGGAAGCGTTGGCTCTGGTGCAGGACCCCGGCGAGCCGATCCTGAAGCTCGTTGGCAACAACGTCGCGAACCAATCCCAGCATGTTGATGCATGGACTGCGTTCTCAGAGGTAGACATGACCAAGAGGTTTCTGAGTGATGGTATCGTGAAAGGTTGGAAATGGTTCGGACGAAGCAAGGTGGGATTCGTTGCCCACGTGTTGCGGCCCGCTGGCGGTACGACCTTCAACCTCGTTGGCAAGACCCACGTCCCAGATTCTGCAGGCTGCAGCTCAGCTTGTTCGTATCTGATTCCAAGTGAGGCTGGATGGATCAGGGTGAAGAAGGGGGATCACATCGGATGGGTGTTCGGCCCGCAGAACGCGTTCGGCTTTGATACGCACGGCAGTCAGACGCGCTGGTGCCACACGAACAAGTGCGGCCATCATAACAAGGTTTCGGATGCAACTCTTGGGCGGTAGAATTCTGACTTTGTCCTGGTCCGAAATCCACTTGAACCCGACTTAATCCCGCTTGATCCGGCTTAATCCCGCTTAATTTGGGGTAATCCCGCTTTATCCGCGGCCTAATCTGGCGTAGCAGCCCCCCGATGGGGCTTAATCCTCCTGACTCCTTCCGACGAAGACCTCCCAGTAGTTGCCTGCTAACAAGGTGGGATCCGCTTACAGCTACCCTGGGGGAGGGGTGCGCGCGTACCACGTAGCTGCGGTGACGGTCTTCGCCCCTCCTGCCAGCGCTCCTCCTGCGCCTGCGGGCGCTGCCGCCGACCCTGCGGACTCCGAGAGGGCCGCAGAGAAGCCACCTCCAGAGCTCATCTTGGCGGCGCGCACAGGGGGGCAATGTTGGGGCGGGGGGTGAAGCGGCCTTCTCAGAACCCAGACCCCGTCGGGCCATGCAAAAGTCACGACGGGAGGCCTTTCGCAGTGGTCGGCCTCTGAGGGGCCCTCACCGGGCCTCGGGACCGTCCAGAAGCGACTCTTGGAGAACCAACAATGACGTAAGCATAAAAACTCGGAGGCCCGCGCGGATTTCTCGAATCGGCGTTGGACCTCCGCGCTCCAGGGAGGTGTCCGGAGGCGCCGTCAGGGGTCCCCAGCGCCGATCCGAGAGATCCGCGCGGACCTCCGAGTTTTATGTTCATGTCCTCGTTTGTTGCCCTAGACTCAGGATGAAAACCTGGTCCCGGGGAACGGGTCCAAACCGCTGGGGGACCACGTCATGCAGCAAGCACGACGTCGGGGGGCCGGGGGAGGGCGCCTCTCGGTGGCCCTTCCGGCGTTCAAAAGAGGCCCTCCGCGCAGCCTTCCGAGGCCCTCCCAGGGAGAAGCCCTCCTCCTGTCCTCTTCGAGGGTGCCGCCTCGCTCGCCCCTGCCGCCCGAACCTGTCCCTCGAGATCCGACGTCGCAAAAAGTTGCAGCATCGCGACAGCACGACCGCAGCTCTGGACCCCATCTTTCTGCGGCGTCTTTCTAGGCCTCCCAGATGAGGTCCGAGCAGATGGGTTCCGAGCAGGATCTTGCCGCATCGCCGATGCATCGGCGATGCATCGGCAATGCATCGGCGATGTGGAGCCAGAATTTCTCCACGCCGACGGCGCCGATGCATCGCCGTTGTCGTCGATGCATCGCCGGTGTATCGGCAATGCATCGGCGATGCGGCGCGCTCCTCCCGGGAAAGGCCTCTCCTTTTTCGACTGGATCGATCTATGATCCCATGGCCTACAGTTCTGATGTTCCAACCTACTTTAGCCTTAACGCCAGAAAGAATTTCGAGCGCCAAGAAAGTACCGAAGCTGGAGGGTTCTCACGTGTCCCTGGGAGACGATACTCCTTCGACACTTCGCTAGCGTGTCGGGTAGACACCGTTTCGATACCTTCCTGGGTGCTCAAAATTATTGCGAAGGCCTTACGGCCGGTGCCGCCGACCCTGAATGGCGACGACGACGACGACGACGACGAGCGCTCTTGGGGGCCTCTTGGGGGTAGTGTGTGGGCCTCTTGGGAAGCTCTTAGGGGCCGCTTGGAAGCCTCGTAGGGGTCTCTTGGGGCTTCCTGGGGGTCTCTTGGAGGGGGCCTGGGACGTCTTGGAGGCTTCTTGGACGGTCTTGGGGCTATCTTGGGCGTTTTCGGCCGATCTTTGGGCGACTCGGGGCCCTCTTGGGCCGTCTCGGGGGCCATCTTGGGCATTCGGACTTCATTTGGAGTGTTTTCGAGGTTTCTAGGCCGCCCGAGGAAAAACGAATCTGCCCCCCACCCACCCCGGGACCCCCCCCTGGGACCCCCCCCCGGGACCCCCCCCGGGACCCCCCCCCCTGGGGAAGGGATCACAGGGAAGGGGCTTCCCTTCGACTCTATTACGACACTGCTAGATTTTTCTCTCGCTCACGAGCTTGAGAAGGAAGCTGCAGGGAAAGGGGACGACGGAGGCGACGACCGACGGAGACGACGACTCGAACAGCCAAGCCCCTCGCACACGCCGACAGGGTCGGCGGATTTCTGGGATGTGGTCCTCAAGTACGATTGACACAACAGAAGCCTCAAGCTGGCGAGAACGACCCGTGTGGAAAAGCCTCAGCGCTCAGAGCACAGGGAGCCTGCGCGCGCCGCCCGGCCGTTCCGGGGCCGCCGGGGCCCGCCGGGCCCGCCGGGGCCGCCGGCAGCAGCGGCGCACAGGGCGGCTTCGGGCCTCCCGGCCCCAAGGGCCCGCCAGGCCCTCGGAGGACGCGTCATGTTGAGTCGGGCATGCCCCTCTGCAGGAGGAATATTCAAGAATAGCAGCAAAAATCGTCTGGTGACGTTTTTTTTTTGTTGTTGTTGTTGTTGTTGTTGTTGTTGTTGTTGTTGTTGTTGTTGTTGTTGTTGTTGTTGTTGTTGTTGTTGTTGTTGTTGTTGTTGTTGTTGTTGTGTTTGTGTGCGTGTGCGTGAGACTGTTTTTGATCTTTTGTTTTGCATTTTTTGATTTCTTCCGAACTCCAGCTGTAGGAGGACATGCACGACCTAACCCTCGGAGGACGCGTAATGGGGGGGCGATCGCAGGGGGGCAGCGAGGGCTGCCGAAAAGGGGTCCCTTAGGGCTCCTAAGGGGGCCCTCCAGAGCCCAGAAGGGAGCCTTTCGGGCCCGACGAGGGCACCCTCCTCCCCCCCCCAGTGTATCGCCCCTTCATGACTGCGCGCCCAAGGCCCGCGGGGAGATCCGGGGAAGGAGGTGCCGCTGCGCGGCGCCGCCGGGCTCATCACCCTGCCCCTGCTCGCTGGCAGCGAGCTGCTGTTCCTGGCGACCCTGGCGGCCGCCTACTTCGCGTTCACGTCGCGGGTGCTGGGCCGCAAGAAGGCGCGGGCTGGGGCGGGCTCGTCTTGGGGCGAGGCCGGCGGCGAGGGCGAGTGGGCGGGCGAGGCCGGAGAGGGCGAGGCCGAGGGCGACGACGAGAAGCGCTAGAGCCGCGGCGTTTTGGCGCGCCGGAGTGCGCTGGCGCTTGCTGGCGCGCGCGCGCGCCCGCGTGCCTGGGCCGTCCAGGACGAGGTGCTCTGGTCAGCTGGGCGGAAGACCTGGACGCCCCCACACCCCGCCCCCTCCATCTTCAGATGCAGCTCCAGTGAGGTCAAATTCTGACTTTGCCCTGGTCCGAAACCCGGTTTGATCCAGCTTGATCCTGTTTAATCCAGCTTCATCCCGCTGAATGCGGCTTGATCCCGCTGAATCCCCGGCCTCATCCGGCGTAACAGCCCCCCAGTGGTGCTTCATTCTCCCTCATCCTTCTGACTAAGACCTACCAGTGGTTGCCTCTTAATCTATCCCTTCTCCGCGCTATCTGCCTCCTCTTCCCTCCTGCGCCCCCCTCTATCCTTTCTCCTCGCTGCCTCCTTTTGCCTCCTCTGTTGCCTGGGCGGTGAGGGCGGCCGTCCAGAGGCACGTGGAAGTCTCCGCTGGTCTTCCCGGGTTTCCCTCGGGCCCGTCTCGGCGGCCAACCTGGGCCGTGTTGGGGCGATCCTGGGGCCTCTTGTGCCGTCTGGGGCATTCCCAAGTTCGAGAAAGCGAGAACGCGAAACTCCCACAATCTGGTGCACATGATTTTGCTTCTGGACGCCCTCTTTGGGGATCCTTTTGGGGCACTCTCTGGCGGCTCAATACGGCTCCACGACGGCCCAAAGACGTCCGCACGACAGCCGCAAGATGCTCCCCAAACGGCTAAGAGGGCTCTACGACGGCCCAAGAGGCGGGCCCTAAGACGTTCCAAAGTGCTCCAGAGGCCTCTTGGATGCTCCTGAGGGTTTCTTGGAAGGCCTATCTGAAGTCTCTTGGTGGCAGTTTTGGGGTGTCTTGGGGGCCTCGAGGGTCTCTTGGGGGCTTCTTGGAGCCTGATTTGGGCTTCTTTGCTCTCGGGTGCCTGATGGAGCTTGCTTTGCGCTGGTATGCTAGCCTCTGCCTCATGGAGTCACGGCGCCGCCGCGGCGTGTGGCTGAAACTGAACAGTACGAGAACGCTCGCCTCGTCGGGGTCTTGGATGGGGCCGTCGGTCTGACAGCCGTCACCGTCTGGATTCTGGATGGGGTTGCCTTGGTCGTTGGCTTCAAGGCTGGTGCCTCTCAGCCTTTTGATGCGTGCATGTCGGACTTCGTGGCATTGATGTGTCATAGCTTGGGGTCTAGTGTCCACGAGCGTCGTATCGTTGACAGGCTCCGCTGGTGATGCTGGGGCGAGTTGAACAGCGGGGCATGCAGCCATGGCCCTTTGCAGAGCGAGGGTGATGTTCATGGGTTCCGTGTGCCGAGGCGTGGACGTGGGCCTTGCCCGTCGACGCCGCTTGTGCCTCGTCGACGGAGCTGGTGCATATTGCATGGTTGGCAGTGGCGTCCTGCTGTTGGTGGAGCCACTGGGTTCGAATTGTTGCTTATCCAAGCGGCGTTTTGGCGGTGCTTCGTCCGTGATGCAAAGTCTCGGACGGGTCGCAAGGGCAGCGCGGTGCTGCTCCTCGCCGTCGATGGCGACAGCGAGTGGAGAATGACTTCCACTTCCACGGTCACTGTGAGACACATGATGGCCCGTCGGGTCTGGTGTCCCTAGCACTGAGTTGCTTAGATGGACGCCGACGAGCACCGTCTGGACGTGCGCTAAAGCTTCCATGGGCACGAAGCGCACGAGAAGGCCAAACCCAAGCTGGCGGGCGCTACGCGGTGGCCTAGACAAACATCTTTGAGCCTAATGCTGCGGACGCAGGCCGTGAGAAACGTACGAGGCAATAGAAAACTAATCTCAACTGTGGACTGCGATGGCAACTACGTAGAAACAAATTTCGTATAGCAAAGCCCAATCTACAGCAAACCCTGCGCTTCTGCCCTTGCAGGAGCCTTTGCAGATGGGCAATCTCGTGCGATCCACCTCGCCGGGACGAGGAGAGCCCATCGAGACTCCTTCAACATGGTCCCGGCGGGGGTGATGGTATGGGCCGCCTAGTGCCTCCCTGTTCGGGTGTGTGCGCGCCACCTCCAGTATCCTGGTTGCCTGGTGGGTCCCTAATCCAGAAGCCGCATTAAAGTGATCATTTCCCCCCTCTGTGACAGAGGGGGTGTTTTTCGGAGGCCCTCTGTGACAGAGGGGGTGCGTTCGGAGGCCCTCTGTGACAGAGGGGGTGCGTTCGGAGGCTCTCTGCGACAGAGTTGCTCGTCATCCCGTTCCTCGTCATCCTGCTTCTGGATTTCGGATATGTCATGCTACCACTGCGCTCATCATCTTTGCGTCTGTGATCCTCGTCGTGTTTTTCCATGCGTCCTTTTCACAATTTCCACCACATTATCCTCCGTTGCCGTTCTGGCCCGCCATCTACCTCGTCACTCTCCTTCGTCTGCATGTCCTTATTCTCTTCCGCTCTTTTTTCGCCCCCCCCTCTGGTTCGATTTCCGCTCTTCGTCCACTTCGTTCATCCGTTTCCAACCCCCCTTCCTTTCAAGTTCTCCGCCGTCCAATCACATCGCGTCGTCCGTCGCCGCTATGCTCAAACCATCCCGCGCCCGTGGGATCGCCCGCGAGCACCGGTGCAGCTGGGCCCGTCGCGGCCTAACGCGCGCCTGCGCCATCGTCTTGCAATGGGCGATGCAGGCGGATACACATGGGGTGGCGCGGGAGGATGGTGGGATAGCCGCAGCAGCGGCTGGCGTGGCTGGGAGGACGGCCATGATTGGTCAGCGAGGGGTTGGAGAGACTGGCGACAAGACGGGCACACGCCAACGGAGGACGCCAAATGGCGCGATGGCCCTGCCGCCGCAGCAGCGGCGGCGGTCTCGCCTCAACGGCCGTCTCGCTTCGCCGCGCTTAGCGTTGTGAGCCCCCGCGCCCCTGGTCTCGGCATGCCCGAATTCGATAATTTCGTGAGGGCTGCCCTCCGAAACTCACCAGAACCTGGGAACGCAGTTTCAGGAGAGGGGTCGGGATCCCGAGCCGCGCCTGCGGCGCAGGAGCCCCGCGCCACCGCAGCGGCGGCGGCGCGCGGGCCCCAGGATTTTGAGAAGTTTGATGTTAATTATTTTTTGAGTTATGAAGAGAGGCTCGGCACTTCGTTTAAGCAACACAATCAAGCGTTGAAATGGTGGCGCCATCTGAATGAAGACCCAACTGCCCCGTTCGAGTCAGAAGCCAAGTGGTTTGACAATGCGGAGCCCACCATGGTCGCTGTTTGCGACCACGGTGCGAGGACGAGCTTTGGTTTCAAAAGCGACGAGGAAGTCCCTTGGCGGTGGCAAGAGATGGTGGCGACGCTCAGGGAGGAAGATATCAGGGAGGTCGTGGGGGGGCCCCGCAGCAGCGGGGCTCTGATCGGCTGTTCCCTCGAAGTCCGGCCAAACAGCTACGACCACATGCGTCAGAGTATTGTGCGCGCGCGACAGTTCGCGGGGCAGCGGGTGAAAGTGAAGCTGCCGATGTGGGATTTCGTGTTGCACCGCGACGACGGGACAGGCGTCCGTTTACACCCGCACTGGGGCGACAGGAAGGTCGAAGCTCTGCCCCTCGTCCCCCGCGCGGACACGGTGAGGCCACCAGCCGCGGGTTTGGGCGGGGGCGACGGGTCAGGAACTTTTCGCTGGTACAAGGACCTCGGTGTGGAGCGTAAGGTCAAGTTCGGCGCCGCCAGAGAGAAGGGGGGGCCGACGCCTTCTCAGGGGCCCCGCAGCAGCGGGGCCGCGGCGTCCAGCACCAGGCCCTCGGCGTCCGCAGCAGCGGCTGGCAAACCAGTAGTTTTGGGGCCGAATAACTCCCCAGACGATTTGGTTGCGGAGTAGATGGCTCCGCAGCAGCAGCGGGGCTCGAACGAAGGGCGCGTCGCATTTCGGCAGGGGCGCGCGCGTCGGCCGCCGAGATCGGGAGCGCGCGTGCAGGCGCCGTGGCGCGATCTTCGTTAAGAAGTCTTCCCTCTCCTCCCTGTCCCCCCATCCCGCCGCCCTCAACGTCGGCTCCTCGCCGCCCGTTCCTCGTCGCTCCACGCCTGTTCGTTCTCCTCCAATTTCCTCTCCCGCTTCCTCGTTCTCTCCTTCCCATTTTTCCCTCCATCCCATTGCATCCCTGGCACCCCAGCGAAGTTCGCAGTTCGAAGTTTGAAGTTCGGAGTTCGAAGGTCGCAGTTTGAATTTCGAAGCTTCGCACTTCGAGGTTCGATCTTCGAACCTTCGTCATCTCGTCGTCGTAATCGTCGTCCTCGTTCGTCGTCGTCGTTCCTCGTCGGCGTCGATTGTCGTTGTCGTCGTCGCTCGTTGTCGTCGTCGCCGTCGTCGTCGTGGTCGGCGTCGTCGTCGTCGGTCGTCGTCGTCGCTAGTCGTCGTCGCTGGTCGCCGTCGTGGTCGTCGTCCTCGTCGTCGTCGTCGTGGTCGTCGTCGTCCTCGTTGTCGCCGTCGTGGTCATCGTCCTCGTCGTTGTCGTGAAACGCCCCACGTAGGAGGAGCAGAGAAGGGAGTAAGGAGAAATGCGCACGGTGGAGGGAGGAGGGAGGATTGAACAGGAAGAGGAGGGTGCAGATGGAGGTAGAAGGGATGAGGTAGTTCAGAAGTGGGAGCAGCAGACTGGCGCAATGGGAAAAGCCATGTGAGTGCAGGGAGGGATGGAAATGCGATAAAGTGAAGCCGCAGCCGTTGCAGGTCTGCCTCCCGCCGCGCCCGCCCGCCTCCGCGACGGAACCGCGCAGGGGCCTCTGCCGAAGTCTCCGCGGCAGCGGGGACTGCCAGAGGAGGCTCCTTCGCGGCCTTTGCGCCGCTATGGCGAGCATCGCGGGCAAGTGCGACGTCGATGACTTCGAGCTCATCGCGACGGAGGGCAGTGTTTGGAACTGGGCGACCATGGTGGTGCGGTTTTTTCCAGTGGCGCAATCGTTGCCGCCATGCGCGCGCCGTTGGAGAGAAGGGCCAGCTGCTCGTCGACCAGGCGCGGCAGATGATGGAGGAGGCGCGCCGTACCGAGGAGAAGGGCAAGATGATGCTTGAGATGTCGAAGAAGACGGTGAAGGACATCCCAGGCAATATTCGGTACTTTTGCCGCCAGCCGCACC